ACACACATCCGTCCATCCATCCATCCATCCATGTGTCCATGTGTGTGCAGAAGGTGATCCACGCCAACAACATGGATTTCCCGGCGCTCATTCGCTCGGAGGGCTGGGCGTCGGCCGAGGTGACCGCACAGGAACTCCTCCACACCAAACTGTAAGCAACCAACCCTCTCCCTCACAGACTCAGACACGTGAGCTGAGCCCTCTCTCCCTCTCTCTGTGCTGTGTGTGTGAATCTGATCGATCAGCCATCAGATCCGCATGCGCGGCTGTCCCGTGTTTCGACACGACCAGACCGAGGCACTGCTGCTGCCGCGCGCATTTGGCGTCGGATTCGACATATGGCAATTCACGTAAGCTATCCACCACCACCACCACCACCACACGGGAGCCATTGTGGATCTCTCTCTCTCTCTCCGTCTGTCTCTCTCTCTCTCTCTCTGTGTGCGTGTGCATGTGTGTGAGCAGGCCGCTTGGTGTGGTGCGCACCTCTCAGCCCGAGCCGTCCCAGCTGGACATGCAGGCGTCCGGCGAGTGCCCCGCGCCCCTGTTCGCCCTCTACCTCAGCACCACACACACCTACAACTTCTACCCCCTCTCCCCGCCCCCACCGCCCCCCATGCCGTCGCAAGCGTGGCAGTGCCCGCTCTTCCTCGCGCACCAGCAGCAGCAGGAGCAGCAGCAACAGCAACAGCAGCTTCAAGAACAATTGCTGCAGCAGCAGCAGCAGCAGCAAGAAGCTGAGCAGCAGGAGCAGCAGCAGCCGTACGAGCAGCAGCAGGAGTATCAGGAGCCACCACAAGTGCTAGTGCCCATGGTCGGCGATGAGGCAAATGCAGACGCCGGAGCGGAGGGAGGGGCGGAGGCCGACGGGCCGATAGCCGAGGCGGCCGAGACGCCACCCCTTCCCTCCCCCTCGGCATCAGCACAACCATCCCCCCCACCAAACCACACGCCGGCCCCGCCACAGCTGCCCATGGACGACCAGGACGGTCCGCTCGATCAGATGCAGCAAGACCACCAGCAGCAGCAGGACCAGCAGCCCGACCATGAGATGGAGATGGAGATGGAGAGGGAGGGAGGCGGAGAGGGAGAGGCAGTGGATTTCAGGGAGGTGGAGGTTGAGGTGGAGCTGGAGGAGGCACCAGCACCAGCAGCGGCACCGGCAACCCACTTACCGAGTGGCACGGGCGAGCATCAGCAGCATCAGGAGCAGCAGGAGCAGCAGCAGGGGCAGGAGCGTCAAGCAGAGCTGCCCCTCCTGCACCCTCCCCCCGACCCTCTCCCTGGAAACGTGGATCACGGCGAGGGCCTGGCCGCACTAGAGGACAACCGAGACCAGCAGCAGCAGCAGCAGCAGGGGGAGGAGGAGGAGCCGCCGCGAACCGAGGAGACCAGCATGGCGGCGCAGCAGCAGCAGCAAGAGGCAGCACATCAGCTGCAGCACGACGACGAGAATCGCCTCCCAACCGACCACCAAGAGCAGCAGCAGCCACCGCCACCGCCACCGCCACCACCCTCACCACCACAGGAGCGCACCGCCGAGGAGCAGGAGGAGATGCGCCGTGTGTCCGACGCCCTCGAATTGCTGGGCAGGGAGCCCGCCAGACACGCCGACCACATCGGGTCCCTCGCCAGGTACCTCGCCGCCCTGCGGGACCGTGACATGGCTCAGCTGCAGCAGCTGCAGCCCGCTGCACAGGCCATTCTCATGATGCCCCCGCCACTGCCTGCACCGCCGTCTGACGAGCGGGAGCAGGAAGAGGGACCACCTGCACCCATCGCACAGCAACCACCGCCGCAGAGCCAGAACCAGGCCGACACACCGGAGCAGCAACGCGGGGATCAGCAGCAGCCACAGCAGCCACAGCATCACCACCAGCAGGAGCCGATCGTCATAGACGATGATGATGACGAGCCGACTCCTGCCCCTGCGCCACCACCAGCGCCTCCCGCCTCGTCTGTACCAGCACCAGCACCAGCCCCAATGCCGTCATCAGAGCCAGTGATCCACCCGATAGAGATCACGCCCACCTCGCCGCCCGTACCATTCGCGCCACCCGTCGCAGCAGCACCGGCACCGGCATCGGCAGCAGCATCGGCAGGAGGGCAGCCCTTCGCGACGGTGCTCAACAGCCACCAGCGCATGATGGCCCCACCACCACCACCCCTGACGCCCCAGCGACGTGGGGTCGGCAGGGACAGACAGAGGGAGAGGGAGAGGGAGAGCATGGCGGGGAAGGAGGTCATCGATTTGGACGCCGATGAGGATGGCAATGACGGGGCCAATGGCAGTGCGAGTGCGAGTGCCAACGCACTACGGCAGCCGATGCATCAGGCGATGCCGCCCATGTGGAACCCCCTTCGCGGCAGCTACCACGGCAATCTTGCTCCTGCCCCTGCCAGTGCTGCTGCTCCCTATGGCAGTGGCTGGCGGATCAACGACCCCAACAACACACAGCCACAGCCTCAACGACAGCCACTCTCACAGCCGCAGCGCATCAGCAACCCATCTCCGTCTCATGGCTTCGCTGGTGGTGCCGGTGCTGGTGCTGGCATGGGTGGCCCCCTCTGTCCTCCGTCATTCGGTGGCGGCCGCCCCGTGTACCCCTACGACGAGAGACCCAAGAGCAGCAACCGCAGCGGCCTCGGCGGCTCCCCACTGATGCCAATGCACCACAACCACAACCACAACCACAACAACAGCCACAGCAACAGCAACAGCAACAGTGGGCATCTGGGTGTGGGTGTGGGTATGGGTGTGGGTGTGGGGGGCAGCCGGGACCTCAGCCGCGATCGGCAGATGCCGACACCACAGATGACGACGCGAGACATGCAGACGCCGATGCCGATGCAGCGGCCGGCGGGGCTGCGCCACCCCCCCTCTGCCAACCGCCATCTCCCCATTCCTCCCATGCCCGTCCAGCAGCAGCACAACAGCAACTACCACCACCACCACCAGCAGCACAACCACCACCACTATCAGCAGCAGAGAGGGGGTGTGAATGGCATGATGTTCGGGGCCAGCAGCCGGGGCGAGTACGGCTACGCTGACGACAGCGGCGAGGAGCGGGATGTGGGGGAGGTGGTCATGACCAACCCACCCGACGCACTCCCACCCGCCCTGCCCCCATACCCATACCCTCGTGGTGGGACGGGGCACGGTGGCCATGGCAATATGGGAGCCATGGGAGGCCTGGGAGGCGGCGGCCTGGGAGGGGTCGCGCGGCCTCTGACGGGGCGGTTCTAACGCATCCAAGCACGGCTGGGCTGCGCTGCTGCTGCTTCGTCTTGTCGTCGGTCTTGTTGTTGTTGTTGTTGTTGCGTACAAGTAGTCGGCTACAGGGAGGGAGGGGAGGTGGTGGGGGCTGGGAGGGAGGGAGTGAGGGAGGGAGGGAGGGGGAGGGGAAGGGTGTGGTGTGGTGTTTGTGGCTTTGAATTAATGAACGAAACACACGAGGGAGTCTATCGGGTGGGCCACCGGCGGGTCGGTGTGGTGGATGGATGGACCGTGTTTGGGGTGGGGGTGTGTATCCATGGCAGCTCTACCTGTCTATCTAACGCATTCATTCTCAGTCAGTACTTTTTCGCGCAATCGTTTATTTATCTGCATGTCATGTGCATGTCGGTCACACGTACGGACGTATGTGTGTGATGTGTGTATCTATGTCTCTCTCTCTCTCTCTCTGTGTGTGTGTGTGCCGTGCCGCCTCGACAGCAAGAGGTTTTCCCTAGCTATGTGCTGCCTGGGTGTGTGTGTGTGTGAGTGTGTGTGTGAGGGGGGAGGGGAGGGAGTCATCAATCCTGCTCACTTCTTGCTTGCTGACAATTCGCACGTCTTGTCCTCCACACACAAGTCTGTCCGTCCGACTGCCTGCCTGTCTGTCTGCCTGCCTGCCTGTCTGTCTGCCTGTCTGTCTGTCTGTCTGTCCGGATCACCACATCAAGTCAAGCTGCCGCAGACGTCCGCGATATCTCCCTTGTCGTCTCTGGGCGGTTGGTTGATGCCGGCGCACACGTGTCTCTCTGTGTGCATTCTTAGTCGCCTGCAGGGTGCGGGGCGGTGCGATGCAATGCGTGACATCCATCCGATCCCTGACGATCCCTGGTTTGTGTGTGGGTGTCTGTGTACTGGTGTGGTGGGTGATTGCCGACGGTCGTGGTGGGCTGGGCGACGACACACTCTAGCTTCCTTCCGACAAAGGAGGGAGGGTCAATTGTGTGTCTACGGCTGTCGTGACGATCGGCAACACACACGCACACCACACGGCACGGCCTTGGCGTGTCTGTGTGTGTGTGTGTCGGTGTGTAGGTTACCAAAGGTACGTCCGTAAGGGGTGTGTACCTGTATGTATGGCTGGGGGGGTGGATGGATTTCTCCAAGGTCATGGTTTTGCTGTTGGTGTCGTGTCGTGTCGTGTCCCCCGGGAGACTGGCCGCCGTGGCTTTCTCGACCGCAAGCTAGCTAAGCTCACGGCACGGACGGACCAGAAGGTGGGTGTGGTGTCATGTCAGCAGTCGTGCAGTGTGCTTGGTGTGGCGTGGAGTGGTGGCTAGCTCGTGGAGGAGGAAGGGACCCTTCTTGTGTGTGGAGGCATGAATACTTTCTTTATCATTATGACCCACCCCCACCAACCACGACACGAAACCACACACGATTCACCCACCACCACACCACGCACAGCCGCTTAATGCGATCGGAGGAATCCTTCGTCAGCTCAGCTCTTCTCAGCTGTCTGTCTGTCTGCCTATCCTATACAATCACTCCCTGCCTCCGTGAACCGTTCATTCCCCCAGTCAGTCCCACCCACAGTCTTTTGACGACCCTCTCGCTGTACATCCACCACACGCACTTGATTGGTTCATTCATTCAGGCCTCCCCCCACCCAGCCAAGGACACGACACGAACGGCTCATGGCGGCTGCTCATGCTCATACCCCTCCGTCTTCATCTGCAGCAAACCCAGCTCGTCGTTCTGCGCCTCTGTGCGATCGTACGCCTGCCGATCCATCCATCCCCCATGTCGCGACACACACACAGCACAATCCTTTCTGTCTGACTGAAGGAAGGGCACGCCACACCCCATGCTTTGCTCTCTCACCTCGCTCGTCAGACCCGGGTCGTCCTCCTGCGGCCTCTCTGGGTGGCGCCGCCCAATGAAGCTAACAGACAGACAGACAGACAGAGAGGCCGGTGGGTGGGAATGGGAAGGTGTTGGTTTGTCGGTGTAAGTAGTGTACCGCACCTGTGGTCAGCGGCATCGTCGAGGACCAGGGTGAAAGGCAGGCAAGACGGGTCGCTGCACAGCTGATAGGGAGGGACACACCACAAAGGGACACACACACAGAACAAACACATTGTCGTGTGTGTGTGTGTGTGTGTGTGTCAGCTGAGTTAGTTGGCTGGCTGGCCAGCTGGCTGGCTGGCTGAGTGGCACACTGACCTTCCGGAGGTCATCGATGGTCTGGGTAAAGGCGGACAGCTCATTCTGCGCGCTCGAATCACCTGCACCCACACACACACGCAGAGAGGGATTGATGGGTGGAAGGATGGATGCCAGCCACCATCTCAGACAGACCTGTGAAAGGGTTGCTCTCCTGCAGATGATCTGCTATCTGAGTGCAGTAAATAAACGAATCAACCAGTCACAACGAGCGAATGGCGAGGCGAGTCTTTGTCATTTGCAGCCAGCACAGTGCCAGCGTCTCTCACCAACCTTGCCAATCAGCCCCTCAACCGTCGTGAAGGCCGAGCCTTCATCCACACCACAACACACAGACGAACGTATCAACAAAACCGATTTACCTCCCTGCAGGGCCCCCCGCCCCGGCCCACCTTGTGTGCCCTGCTGCATCTCGAAGTCGATCTCCGGGATCCGCACAGCCGCGCTGTCAGACTGTCGTTACGAACGAAACGGCACACACGCACAGACACACGCACAATACAATCAGAGCGGAGAATGTGTGTGTGGTGGCTAGCGTGGTGTGGTGGTGGCTGGTACTTTGAGGACATCTCTGTTGAGGTCCTCTGGATCGGTGACGCGCAGAGTCCACCGCCTGGCCTTATCGCCGATCGCACCGGCGGCCTTGACCTACACCAACACAACCATATGGCATCATTTGTGTGTGTTTGTGTGTTTGTGTGTGTTTGTCTGTCGGGCATCTATCTCTCTCACCCACCTCGTTGTTGCGCACGCCGCAGTGGGGGCAGTTGAAGGCCATGACGAGACACTCGCGGAAACCGGGGATATCTGCGAACACCCATCCCGTATGAGTTCCCTGACTGTTGAGTGGGAGGATGGTGTGCTGGGTGTGGTGTTCTGTGTGGCGGCAAAGGGGTAGGGTACCGACATACCGATGGCGCACATGTCCTGCCGCCCCTTTGTGCCACAGTGGTGGCAGTCCACCTCAAAGAACAAGGCCTCATCACGACCTGACAACCGGACAGAGATGGACCATTTGTGCGTCTGTTCTGTGGGGTGGGGGGATGGGCATTCTCTTTCTTTCTCTCTCTCTCTCTCTCTGTGTGTGTGTGTGTGTGTGTTTACCGATGTTGCCGGACTCTTCCTCCTCCCTCTGTTGATCCATCCATCCATCCATCCAACACACACATGTGACACGTAGCCATACAAGTGTGTGTGAAGTGTGTGCCCCTGTAATGTCTGTAGTGCGGCTGCTCTGCTCTGCTCTACACAAGACAACACAGCAGCACATACCCTCTTATCGATGTTGTCCTCAATGCTCTTGGAGAAGTCCCAGTTGGCCGCGCGAAGATGATCGGGCAGATCAGCACCGTGTTTGGGAGGGGGCGGGGCCGCCGTGGCAGCCGTGTGTGTGTCGTTGGCTTGTGGCACGTTGTAGCCCATTTCCTGCCAGGGCAGACAGACACACACAGACACACACACACGCACACACACGCCACACGTGTGTGGTCCATCCATCCATCCATCCATGTGTGTGTTTGCCTGCAGCTGCTCTCTGGTGCGTTCGTAGAGCGTCTTGGACAGTCGTGTGTCGGACGTGCCGATGGCTGCATACACACACACACACACACAGAAAAAGAGAGAGAGAGAGGGAAGCGCTCCCTGTGCACAGCACAATCGTGTGTCGGCTTCACGTGTGTATGCTGACATACATTCGATGAACGAGTTGCCGGCCGGATCGTCAAGCACGACAGTGAAGGGCAGCTGACGGATGGATGGATGGATGGATGGGTGGACACGCCGACACAGCACGCGCACATCTATGTATCGCTGTGTGTGTGTGGCGCACCTGTTGGCCTGCGGCCATGGCTTTGAGTGTGTCGATGACGCCCTGGATCTTGCCCGTCGTGTCGAGGTCGATGTGCTGTCTGACAGGCTGATCCTTCTCCAGATTGGCGGCGGCCTGCAGACAGACAGACAGACAGACAATCACTCACACGCAGGCATCAGTTTGTTGTGCGTATGGCGTGGTGTGCTGTTGTGTTGTGTACTTGACCTGTGCGATCATGCCTTCGGTGGTCGACGAGATGCCTCTCTGTGTGGTGGGCGGGATCTCAAACTCATTCTCAACTGCAGCACAGCAGCACAGCAGCGCGGCAGCAGCACTCCCCTCTCTGTCAAATGGGGGTGCGTGTGTGACACACACATACACACATACGGATTTTGAAGGTGGCGTGCTCCGATTTGATGATCTGCCGGTTCAGATCCTGCAGCCACGACCCGCCACAAGGACAACCACAGCCACAGCCACACACACGTCCACACACGTGACGTACACACAACATAGATCTGGACAGACAGACAGGTACCTACCTCCGCTCTCTCCACTTTGAGCTCGATCCTGCAGCCCTTGTCCTGCACACACAGGTGGACACGACACACATGTGTTATGTGCCAGTTTACTCATCTACTTTCCCTCACCTGCAGGGGCGCTCCCGGCTGAATCTCGTTGTTGTTGAAGCCACAGTGAGGACATGAGAACGACATCAATATCACCTCTACATGCATCAAGCGTCAGTTAACCAGACAGACACACAGGGGATGGATGGATGGATAAGGGCGTTCTCTCTCTCTCTCTCTCTCTGTGTGTGTCTGTCTGTCTGTCTGTCTGTGACCTTTGAAGTAGGGGATCTTGGTGAGCATGATTCTGGTCTTGCCGTTCTCCCAGCATTGCGTGCACTGAGTGAGCCATTCGGACACCCACACACACAGACAGACACACAGACAGACACGCAGACAAGACATGCACACGCCACAGGTGGACACGAGAGCATCCACCCAGAGCCAGAGAGAGAGATCTGTCAGCTCACGAGGCTTTCGATCTCGGTGCTGTTGTCCTCGGCACTCAGCTCGGCGTAGATGACGTCGGGCGACGGACGAGATGCCATCCTGACAGATTTCCCCAGGGCACGGTTCGGGACGAAAGGTGGTGACGTGGGAGTCGAGGTAGGCGCGACTGACACAGTGTGGTCTGCGACCGGCGAGGCCGCTTGGTTGCGGAGAGCGGTGCGTGAAGTGTCCTTTTGCGTAGATCAGAGGAAGTCAAATGGGCATCTGTAGATCAAGATCTTCGCAGCGGTCAGCATGGCGATCTGTCAGCAGATCGAGGCGTCTTCTCTTGGTAGCCAGGCAAACCCTAACCCGAGAAACCCTGCAAGGCTGTGCGAGCTTAAGACACACGGGTGCCAGGGCATTCTCATTGACTCGGGCAGTTCGCCAACACACAGTCAGTCATACGGTGCGGATGGTGTGTGTCTGTCGGAGGCTCGACGGCCACCGCACACAGAGAGTGACAGTCATCACTCACTGTGTGCGGTAGCGGCGCCGCATCCGACACCCAGCCCACCAACACACGATACACGCCAAAGGGAACCAGACAGCCCCCCCGCTCTCCTTCCAACACGCACACACAAAAGCCTCACTTCATTCACCGATGCGCCAAGCAGCAGCCCATAGGCACAGAGAAAGAAAGGTAGGTAGCCACACCCACAGAACAACGCACAGAATGCTCACAGCGACGGAGCCATTGAGCCATCCATCCACACGTGGGCCGCGTGTGTGGGGGTGTACGATCATGACACACAGACAGATGTCAAAAGGGCCCCACCACCTTACTGTGTTATGTGTCGGGCACCCACCCACACCCACACCCACAGAGAGAGAGACCAATGTGTGTGTGTGTTGACATGGAATCATCACACTGCAGATTGAATCCTGTCTGTCCGCTTCCCTCTGGGGGCATCTCTGTCGCCACACCGCAACCCCAAAGCACCGACACCAAACATGGGCCGATACTCTCCGGTTCCCGACCGAGGACAGAGACGCCCACAGAGGGAGGGACACACGGATGCAGGAAAAAGCCACATCACAATACCGTACAAAGGACGGCTGGCGAAAACAAAACCGAACAGCCTCTCTCTCTACCATCCACACACAAGCTGGCAGCCAGGCCGACAGACAGACAGCTGTGTGTGTGGACGGAAGGCATACAATGCCCACAGAGCTTATAAGGACACACCAGTCTCTCTCTCTTTCACATCAACAGACATTGTGGACATGGTGACAGGCGGGGAGGTGCGTGTGTGTGTGTGCGTGTGTGTGTGTGCGTGTGTGTGTGTGTGTGCGTGCGTGTGTGTGTGTGTGTGTGCGTGTGTGTGTGCCGGCCCCCCTGTCTGTCTGTGAGCCGCCCGTGTGTGACGGATGCACCGACGAGAGATAATGACACTCTCGCGAACAGCCGTCACAGCCAGCCGTGTAACAGACAGACGGCAGGCCAAACACCGCCCCACACAGCGATTCTCTGTGCAGCCAATCAGCCAATCGTCCCCTTCTCTGTCTGTCTGTCTGTCTGTCTGTCAGATTTCCCCCGCCCCCCACTCACCGGCGCACACACTCACGGCAGCAGACGGCCCACACGCAAACCCCACACAGCACACACAGAGAAAAGGCCGACCAGCACACGACTAACCCCCCCTCAGACAGACAGACAGACAGACAGACAGAGAGGGAGAGGGAGTTCGTCGACTCATCGGCCGATCATCCTGCCTCACACACACACACACACGCAGACAAGACGAGCAGCACTCAGCAGCGGTGGGGGAGAGGGCCATCGCGCCACTCGACGGCCGCATCGTCACCATCAGCGCGTCCAAGCCATCAGCCACTCAGTCAGACAGCCACACCTGCACACAGACAGACAGACAGACATCTGTGTGTGAGAGATCCATTTGTGTGTGTCGGTACACCACAGAGTGTCAGTGTCGTTTGCTGTCGATCGGCACGCCGAATGGCCAGGCGATTGTGTCTTCCGCCGATGGGCACAGCTCATCGCCTCAACGCACCTGACACACACACACACAGACGAAGACGACAGACGTCAGATGGCCGCCATGCAGCTGTCAGTCCACCGACCCCCCCAGACTGACTGTCTGTCTGTGCGGTCCGTACCATCGCCCACAGCCTCGACAGTCACAGCCACACACTCCGGCAGATCTGTCCCGCTGTGTGTCGATGAAATCAGGCGAGGCGATGTCGCCGCCAGCTGGTCCCTCAGCCCGCGACACGCACACACACGGCGGCCATGTCTCTCTCGTCAGTCAGCCAGGCGAAGACCATCGGCTCCAACGGCATCGGCTTTCTGTGTGCGGGGGGTCGTCGGTAGACGAGCGCTTTGCCATCGACAGAGGTGACTTAGGAAGGGACAGAGAGAGAGAAGGAGAGGGAAAGAGAGAGAGAGAGGAGGGAAGGAAAGCCGTGAGCTGCAGATCTCACTGGCACTGCGAGCTGGAAGGGGGCAGACCGAATTGAGACGCGCCCCCCATCCCGGACACCTTGTGTCATCGTCAGTTCAGATGGAGAGGCCCCTCAGCCAGGCGAGGCTGCCACCCGGCTACACGAGCGACTGCAACCGGCTGGCGGCTGCTTTTGCCTCACTTGACAACCGTGCGGCTCCGTATGTGGATTTGCTGGCGCCCGTCGCTGCGTCCCGGAGGACATCCAACGCTGCGGCAGCAGCCGAGAATAACAAGAACGACCATTATGTGGACAGCAATGATGATCACCTAAGTCCTGACGTCCTTGACGCGAGAGATATCATGGTGAGCAGCTGTGGAAAGGATGTTTTGACACTCAGTGTGTTTGTGCGTTTGTTTGGGTGTTTGGTTGTGGGCATGCAGCCGTCCTTTGAGAACTCTCTCGACCTGCCCCAGCGGCTCCACTCGTTGCTGCCGCACATAGACAAACACAAGTGGGTCAGAGACACTCTGACACGCACACTGAATTCGCTTTCTTGGCAAACGGACTTTTTCTCAGCGTGAAACGGACTCTTGTGCTATGTGATAGAACTCATCGAACGACGCGTGAAGATGCATTCCCGCAACACATGAATGCGGTCAGTACAGGGCTGATTGGTTAGACTTTTGGTTGGTATATGAGTGATTGGTGAGTGATGAGTGAGTGATTGGTTT